TAAAGACAATAGATTGGTACTTCAAAATAACCAGGAGAAATTACCTGATCTCAAACTTGGCAGTTGCCGATGAATACTTCTAAGTGCGTCGTAATGCATATTAGTCATCAAGGTACAGATACACACACGGTGAATTACATTGAGCTACCTGTTGTTCAAACACACAATAACACACATCTTTAGCCAAGACCTAAAAACTACGGTACAATGCCATGAGATAGTAGCCAAAAGTTCTAGAACCCTGCATTCAATACGTAGAGCCTTTAGCCATGTCGATGATAAAAACATTTTGACGCCGTATACAGTATTCGTGCATCCTAGACTCGAGTACTGCATACAAGAGACCAGCCCATGCTTAAAGAAACAGTGTGCTTTTGGAGAAGGTCCAGAGGATCACAACTAAACTGGTTCACAAAGTAGCAAGGCTCTAGTGTGATGCTCGACTGGCTAAACTAAACCTATTTTCATCGTCAGACCGAAGTTTCAGAGTTTCCAAATTATTCTCTGAAGAAGGGACTTACACTAAGTCACGAAACGTCAGAAAATCTAATTTTCTACTCATTGGGATATTACAAACATATTATTTATTTATATTTAGTGATAAATTTGCATCTGATATGCCCTCACTTTTCTTGTCTCCCAAACCAAACAGGAAGGGTTACTCTTGTATGACGAACCTGCTGACTGCGGTGGACAGATGGGCAAGCATCGTTGATCGCAAGGGGAAGGTGGATATCATTTACCTTGATTTCTCTAAAGCTTTTGATAGGGTTAACCACATATGTCTTATCAACAAGCTCAAACAATTAAGTATCAAACCACCGTTAATTGACTGGCTCGTTTCATATCTGACAAATCAACATTTTAAGGTCAGGGTAAACTTCAATTTCTCACACGCTATGGATTGTCATAGTGGGGTCCCCCAGGGCCCAGTACTAGGACCGCTTCTCTTCCTGATTTATATAAATGATCTTCCTCAACAGGTGATGTCAGACTTATTGCTTTTTGCTGATGACGTGAAACTTTGGAGAGAGATACGCGACCAAGAGGATATACAGGCACTTCAGGAGGATCTGACTCGACTTCAAAGTTGGGCAGACGACAACGGACTTACCTTCAACACTTCAAAGTGTAAAGTAGTCCATCTGCGACACGTCGCAGATTACAGTTACAACTTAAGAAACTCCTCTCTAGTAGTATCCCGAGTCGAAAAAGATTTAGGAGTCCTGGTGCCCTACGACTTAAAGTCTTACGCCAACTGTGACAGAAATGCCTTTCGAGCAAACCTGGCACTGGTAACATTGAAGCGCATTTTTGGTCAGTTTGACGGGAGAACTTTTCACATAATCTTCAGTGGTTTCATTCATCCCCATTTAGAGTAAGAAACATAGTATTCCCTCCTACACTCCAAAAGAATAAGGACACTCTGGAGCGTATCCAACGGCGAGCCACGAAATCAGTTCGGGGACACAAACTTCAACCTTACGATGAACGCCTCCAATCACTCGACCTTTACCCATTAGAGTATTGGCATCTTAGAGGTGACCTTCTAGTGGCTTACAGCATCCTTAACACTTCTAGACATCCTCTTAAACCCCTACTTAGGCTTATTCCCAACACTAACCTAAGGGGTAACACCCAGAAATTAGAGATACAACATAGTAGAACGGACTGCAGGCACAACATCTACTCCTTAAGAGTTGTCAAATGCTGGAATTCGCTGCCAGCTGAGCTAGTCCAAGCAACTTGCCAGGAGTCCTTCAAGAGGCGACTTGATTTATTCTTAAGGAACAAGGATGGTATCTTACTATGGTTTACCAATTACTTTTTTTTCTCTTTTATCGTTAATATACCTAGGTTCTTGCCTGGAGGTATTGGTGATCCCCTGCTACTAGACACGGAAGCCTGTCAGTCGAAAGCTTCTTCTATTCTGTCCACAACCATTTGAACCATCTGGACTTTCCTATCGAATCATCAACCAATAGAATTCATTACCTTAACACGTGATTGAAGCTCCATCTATCAACGTTTAGATAAGGAAGTTGGATCAACTGAAAGACTATCATTTCCGGGACAAACGAAGGCCATCTTGCCTCCTGTCCTTTCCAATATGAAATAGAAGTACGCTACATTTACTCGTTTGATGTGCAAAAAGCTGCTTGTGCATACAAATTTAGGCAACGCTTCAGGGGTATCGTCCACTGATGGGGGTTGCGAGCACTTGAAGGTCAAACTATCTCAAGATGATTGGTGCGTCACATCGACAACTCGTGAAGTTTTTAAGAGGCGGTCAAATCAAGACATTTTTAGATTTGAATTGAGTTCAGCCACACTATGTCTGATAACGTCCATCCTTCAAGTAACGAAGATGATGTCATCGTGATGATGCATAATATAGGACGAATCTTCAATGATATTATGTTATCTCGGAGATTTACAAGTTGGGACAATTTTGAGACCTGTTTGAAAGAAGTACATAAGGTAATATTACTTCTGTGGTTAATGATTATTTTTGTAGTATACGTATACTAAGTACGTTATGTCAGTTTGTAAAAAGAACAATGATGACCCAAATCTAAAATGCGTTCACAGTGGTACCCAGGTTGTTGAAATCACATTGTAATTAATTGAGCTTAGACATTAAAAATATCAATAACATTTTACAACGTGTTCAAGCAAACACTGAAGTTAAAGTACGAAGTGAACATGGGAACATATCTATGATTTGCTTCAGTCGTAGGGAGCAAGTAGCTGTTTACCACGCGTTCCCAGAAGTAATATATATCGACTCGACTTATCAGACCAACAAATTTGGGTAAGTAACGAATCGCAATTTATTTATCTTACAGTTTTCCACTGTTCCAGCTAGTGGTGACTGATAGTCTTGGGCAAGGGCACACTGTTATGTATGCTCTTTGCAAGCAAGAACGACGAGATGTCGTAAAACTATTGGAATGCTTCAAAGATATAATGTGCTGTACTTATGATACACACACTTTTGTTATGGATGTATGTTGTTGGTACTTCACGTGCACGATATGCTTGTGAGCGTTTTAATGACTACATGCTGCCCTGTGGTCATATTCTGTATGCACATTCTAAAGATCTAATAATTGGAGGTGTGTGTTCCTTTGTCTCTATAAGCATTGTAGACTTATTTCGACATAGCAGCCGGTGGACAAGGAAATATTTAATGGACTTGGTTCTTCGTGCGATGGACAACATGTCAATCTCTACCGGGAGTGATGATCTGCTAGAGAATTTCACTAACAACTACCACTCAATCCATGCTCTTAGTGAACCCTTGGCAAGTAAACTCATCCGTTCATGCTTCGAAGCATCTGAAGACATATGTGCACAAGTGATGAGTTCAATCGGTGCTAATGATGAAGCTACATCGTCAGAATCCATTGTTAACACTGACCATAGCTATGCTTCTTGATGACAAGAAGTTCTAATATTGTAATCTTTTTAGTTTTACATAAATTTATTTATATGGGCATTAACTCATTCTTATAGCGTTACGGTAGGGAGAGTGTACTGTGAAGTCTTATGTCGCTGTGAAAAAGGGATGTTGTTTCGCGTTCTTGTGTAATAATTACCAGTTTAGCGCACACGCGATTAGTTATACGCGCTGTTTACCAGACACTGCAACTTTGAACATGATTTACTATACTACTAGGTCGAAATTTGACTTGTCACGATAGGTAAGCATTGCCGTAATTAAAACACTGATGTGTTATAAATGAGAACGCTTATTAAAGTTAAAACCCAACGAAAATGATCCATTAATGAATAACTTTCAGTTCTTCAGAATTGTTCCAATTAGGTCGGTGAACACTTGCGAAGCCAGCTGGAAATAAGATAGACAGGAAATAACTATTACAATATAAATGTTTACCCAAAACTAATATAAAAAGAGAAACCGGTATTCAATTACAAATCGAGAGTGCATTTGGTACATCACGCTTATTTGCTTTATATATATATATATAAACTGCTATGTGAACTTACTTTGAATCGTCTTGTATAATCTGCAATTATTGGTGCCTTTTTTATTTTAGTCTCACGCAAGGTATAATTAATTGTCATTTACGGCATCAGCATATAAGCTAGCCGGGCCTTCGGTGATTTTCGAAGATCATTATATATGATCTCACACAATCTGGTCACCTGAGATCAAGATATCTTGATTACCCAATCGTACTTATTTCTGCTATTGGCTATCTTTGCAAGAATACCGGCAGCCTGAACATTGGAACTCTGTTCAAGAGATAATATACTAACTCTAAGCTAATTAGCTTTATAAAGCAATCTTAGCTTACTCTCTGGTGAAATCTCCACATAATTGTACCTCTCTCGCATAATTATGATTTATTTCCTGCAATATAATGATTTGGTAGCTTATATATCTAACTGTAGAAGGTGATATTAACATATTGGTATGTGTTATAACCATCTACAGCATATGCATAATATTGACAACACTAAGAACAGCTAATATTTTCACTATTAGCCTATGTCTGCCATAAAAGTAGAACAAAACAGTGAAAATCAGCCAAAACTGTAATACAGAAGGGAAAAACGATAAATGTTATCATGGTATCGTTAGTTGTAGCGCAGTTTTGGTAGCCTTGACGACAATACAATTTTTATGACAATATATGCTAAGATAATATCATTTCATATAAAAATAAACAATTTCTCTGCTCTGTTTGTATAATTAAGTAGAAATAATCGCCAGTCTGCGATGCAAATATGAAAAAACTATTATAGCAGCACCTGATTAATGAATTTTCAAGGACTTCGCGATACCATGTAACGCAAAATAAAAAAACCCCTTTTCACTCAATTATGAAGACGGAAAATGATTTTTCAAATTTAATTATAATAACTTTTAAATTTTGGCTGTGCACAAAGCAGAAATGAAGAAGTAGCGCAAAAAAAGTGTCGCGATACCCCTGGAGCGCTGCCTACAAATTTACCGACGGAAGATCGAAATTGTTGCCAAGGTCGGCGCGTATGTCGAGGTTACTCCGCTCCAGTTATTTTCTGAAGGTATAGTATCAGGTAGGTCCTAAATGCTGTGCTTTTGGATAGTTTCCTAAACTCTTTAACCTGTTCGAAATCTATTTAAGTAATTTCATTTTGTGAAGTGTGTTGTACAGTAGCGATTTTACATACTAAGTCATAATAAAAACCTCCCCGCTCGCTTCGATTATCATGACTGCTTTATCGGATGATAAAAATGTGTTTTTATTGATAAAATTTCCCTGGGGAGATTCGCGCATTTGCATTCATCTGCTTGGCTATTTTTGACTAACTGGGTTTACGAAACTATTACACACTCCTGGGTTAATACGTTTATAAGCGCATTTAATTCGTATATTATTTAAAATTTCATGATAAGCTTGTTAGGTCGTCTTCATTTTTCCGAACTACTGCTTAATTCTTTGTTACCTAGTACATTTATCCTTGAAAAATAGATATACGAATAGACATCGTTATATCAGTCGATTCGAACAGCTGTTTTTCAGGCCCTCACTTATTATTATTATTATTATTATTATTATTATTATTATTATACAACCGAACCAGCTCTCAAGAGTGGAAGTCTTTTTCCACTCTCAATAAAGCATGAACTCGTACCCAAGTAGTTCAGAAATAAATCTCCGATCTTGGCATGACTGTTATCCTAACCGATTGTCATAACTTTTCAATCAATCGCAGACGATTATTTCCTAATTTAGCTTCAATGAGCCCTTTATCACCTTAATGATTGACCTGTGTATTTTTTTAACCGTCAATCTACTACAGTTGGCAAGTCAAGGTTTCCCATTCGGCATAATAATAGCCTTATTCAGTACTGTGTGGTTTTAGGCATAAAAATGGTCCGATCGTCGACAACGACAAATTCAGTTTTACAACAATCCTAGGAATATTTACTATGACGAATCCCCAAAATATTTATGAGGGTATTTGTTTGATGGTCAAGGCATTTAGTCTTTGGATTTTGGACTCGAGACCCGACTAACCACTTACCAATAAAACAGATTATATCTTACACCCTCACAACAATGTCACTTATGTACCGAGCGAAACGTGGCACTTTTATATCGGCTCAGTTCGCCCCACCACATCACAAAGCGATGAAATCACGAAGACAAATCCTAGGGTAGTAGGAAAGAATCGACACAGGTGATATAAAAAAATGAGTTCATGGGGAAAAGTATGAAATAATTTTGAAACTTGGGATCCAAAGAAAGACAAAGAGTGACTGATTTTAAGCTGTATCACCCAATGTCTCTAGACCATAGTTATGATAATTACGTGGTCCCCAAGTAGTCTGCACATGATTTTACGCCTCAGCACAGTTGTCAGTGACTTCATGAAGTGACGCCATGTCTTGGTTAGTCCATACCTACCTCCCAACCTACTTTTTCACCGGCTAACGTTGCTTATCAACGTAGGAAGCCTACAACTATCCTCCATTGTTACAATGTTACTCAAAATAATACCCAATCCTGTACTTGTACTCCAAATTGAGTCAAAATAAAAATCTTAAAAATCGGGTGTTGAAATTAGGGATTTTCGCAAAAATGTTTTATGCTTTTTGAAACACGTTTTTACAAGATGTAGCTTTGTAAACCATTGTAAATAAATAAGCCGTGTCACACAAAGTCCTCGAATCACTGATCGCGGTTATCGCACAGACCTTAACCAGGCAATCTGCACCTACTAACAGGGCTCAAACCCACAGTTTAATTGCAAGAACTGGTGCCGTGCCTTGATGTTTCCCTTATATTTCCTTCAACCAACTCCTAAATCAGCAAACATTGTTATCATGAGTGAAAAACATTCCTAATTTATTATTGGTTCTAGTCATATTGTCATATGTACCGAACTTGACATAACTTTCAATATACCTGGATGAGTAACATCATATATTCAAATCCCACCTAGAAATTAGTATTTTGGTTGGGATGTGTGGTAACTTCAACCTCAAACCTGACGGTTAAACGTCTGTCTGTTTGATTCATTTTTGCATTGGTTGTTTGAGTCTTCCCGTTGATGTTTAGGACTGTAATTGATCAGTACTATATTGGCGTATGTGCATCCTGTGCGGATTGCATCGATATTGCCTAAAGTCATAAGCATCATAAGTGGAGATAGATAGTGGCTAGCAGTGGAATTCAGGACGCGCGTTTCGTTCTATTTGGGACTAGCCAGTTGGGTTCGAGTCCCGGGGTGAACATCAAATCTGGGGTGCAGGCACATCCAGCTGACGAGTTCTAAATGGAACGAAACGTGCGTCCTGGATTCCACTGCTAGCTACCACCAATCTCTTTATTTTTTATGTTACAGGGAAGTTAGCAATTGTATTAACAGCAGATTTAATCACAAATCTTCAAAATAGCACTTCATCAAACTCTTCATACAATCTGAATTCGAACTCAGAAATGCAGATGAAATTCATTGACGATTTCTCATTATTTTTAATGAAAATGTTCAGGTAATTTCGTCATTTTTTGAACTAGTTTTTTCCAAATCCTAACGTCATAGAGACACATTTCACTCAATGTACATCTTTTTATGTGTAAAATATCCGAAATTTCCTCTACGTAGTATGAATAGTTTTCTTAAAATTTTTTAAAAAATAAGATGTATAATTTAGAACACTATATGTAAAGTTCGAAACGACATGATTAAATAGAGTATGTAATTGTTTCCTCGAAAAAGACAAGAAGTTATATTTTCTTAATTTTGTTCATTTTTCTCTATTTCCGAAAAAGGTATTCTTGGCAGATGTAATAACCTAGACTTTCCTTCTCCTCTCCATTCAGGTTACTTGATCGTGATTCTGTCAGTACACCCGAACTACTTCCCATCAGTTGACAATACTTTAAGAACTCCAAAGGTTTTTTCACCTACTACCGCTGATGCCGTCGTCTAGGACAGCTAGGATAAGGCGAAATCCCGTACCGGATAGGTGCATAGTCATCAAGTGTATGAGGAAAACAATTTTCACTTTTGTTTTCTTATTGGTCGTAAGTTTCCTACTTCTTTTTTGACTATTGCCTCAGGGTCTTTCAACAGGACTCATAGGACCAAGTATTCTATATCTGGAAAAGTTAGCTGGCTCACGAGAGGACGAAACAGCTCTTGTTTTTACATCGAAGGCCGTTGGGTGTATTGGTGGATGGATAGTTAGCTGTTTATTATTGGATTCAGAAGGTTCTACCAAACCAAGTGATTTACTAAGTGTTGGACTTTTCGGCCTAGTGATATCCAATGGTCTTATTATTTTCGTTAAACATCTTTGGTGGATGCTGGCAGTTTTTTTCCTTCAAGGTTTATTTGTAACAATTTCTTTGCAAGGTAACGAAAAATATATGTACGAACCTTGTTTTCGGCTGACATTTTACCTTAGCTTAATAATCATTACATCCTACCTACAAGTGAAACTAAGGGTATATTTGAAAAATTTCTAGAAATGTATTTAAATGGTAATAGCAGTGCTGGAAAACAATTGATAATAATTACTTTTTAGTTATCTGGAATGGCAGATATACAAGTAAGAGATGATCGAATATTTTTCGAATAGTTTATACTCCTGTGAAATGTTAGTAATGAAGTAGCGTCAAATCGTAGTTCTTTCATTTAATCTCACCTAACCGATGTACTGCACCAATAAAGTTCACCCTTCGACTTTTCCAGCAGATGTAGACATGTTCAAAAGCAAAACAAACCCTACTCACTGGTTCCTGGCACTGACAATTCAACTTAGCATACGACTATTATTGTACCTTGTTGACTGATGAAAGCCTTTGACTTTTAATCACCGGTGTATGAGTTATGACCCTCGTTCTTCTGTTCCAATATAGACGGTCGAACATTGCCAATGGTTGTCCCATAAAACTTTCGACTCAAAGTTTGATTTACAAGCCTAAATTTGGTCTTTGTGTCAACGTTTTGCTAAAGTATCTCATAGACTAGCTCGCCATACGAAGACTGAAACAATTTTAGGGTCGGGAGGTACTTAGGATCATCATCTTGGATGTAGCATAGACTCCATAAGTTGCGCAGAGACATATATCCTCAGAATTTCCACAATCAAAGCTTAAAATGATTAAGTTAGTAATGTTTTTGAGTTTATTGAGAAAACCTAACATGAAAAAGGCGACTTAATCGATACTCATAGTCGTGAATTTAATGATTACACAATGACCTTCGAATATTAATTTGTGCTGATTAGTTGCACTTTGTGTAATTTTTTTTGAAGTTTTTGTTCACTTTATACTTGTGTTTGTAAAAATAGAAAGTAAAATACAATTATGATTGCTTTACCAGTTATCCAGTATTTTTTTATATTCATTCATTTTGGGAAGTGATTTCTAGTAAATTAAGTCGCATTATCAATCAATTAGCATTCTATTCTTCATCTTGACATTTCATTTGTGTTTCTGATCATTCAAAATTTGTAACCCGTAGTAGTAAAACTAACTCAAAAGATGCAATTTATCCTGTTACTGTGGGAAAATAAGTGACTGACTCAATATTAAAGTGGGTGACTAAAGCATTCACTAAGCCACATAGTGAAATAATTTACCTCTGATCATTAGATAGATTGCAGCCATCAAACTCATAGTTGCTTCTGAAATGGCTATCTAATTTGACGTTACCTAAATATTTTGTAATTGTGTATTGGATAAAAACTACACCTTCAATGAATTAATCTATTGAAATAGAGATTGTGAAATGCAAAAATCTTCCTTAAAAGTAATTTAAAACTAAGTTTGAAACTTTTATTTTGTAATTTATCATTTTTCAGGATGTGTTTATCATCGTGAGAATGTAAAACATCGACTTCACATTGTGCCACAATATTTAACAACTGTTTTCTTATTGGGTTGTGTATTTACTCCATATCTTATTTTATTTATTGAGCCAAATTTAAACACCATTACATCATTAGATGTTCATCCAAGTACTACACTCAATGAACCACAACATTCACGTAATCATAACTTTGTTTCAAACTTATCTAATGTAAATCCCATTAAATTTGTTGAGAGTAGCAGTACTGGTATTAGTAAACACAATAAAATTTCTCCATTTATTCGTATCCCTCGACAAATTTCAGTTAGTACCCCACTACTGAATAAATCTAATTTTGGTCTGCAAACAACACCTCAAACCATTACGGACATTAATCATCAGAAAATATCTACCGATCAATCTCATAATTTAAATCTAATCATACCTAATTTTACGTTAACAAACGCAATCAATATAAATGAACCATCACATAACATTACAGTGAACTCTTCTTCGGTTACTATCAAACCTACAATCAAGAAAAAGCCGTCAGTCAATGATGCTAAACATTTAAACCAAGATAGTTCATCTGCGGATGGTAGTAAAGCAGCGTCTAAAATGAAGAAACTTACTGAAGAGCGTCAAATTGAAAAATTAGACGACGATCCATCTACCCATAAACCACTGACCTCTGTCGTTAATCCAAATAAACTTCAAAATCCTGTAGTTCAAAACCAGTCTACTATTACCACTACTACTATGTTGATGAATATCACGAATTTAAATTCTACAAAACAATCAAATAATAATGATACTATCTCTAAACTTTCTACAAATTCTTCCTCTAGCCATCTTTCACTTCACTTGAACAATGTTTCAACAGGATTTCCACATAACTCTAAAATTGTTAAGGATCATAAATCCAATGAAATCTTTATTAATAATGCGAATTTAACAAAAGATACTTACATATCTAATACATCTAAACCGATAACTAGGAATAAAGTAATACTTGGCATGTATAATATTACTGATGAAGTTGGGTTAATAACTAATAACTCTTCTACTCAATTAACATTCAGTAAATTTCCATCTGTATTACAGTCAAGCGATATTGTAGTTATCAATTCAACAAATCATAAATATCATCATCATCGTATTGCTGAACATTCGTTGGATAAATCTCATCATAATCTGTTACCGTTTCAACATCCAGTAGAATCAGTTCAGAAAGTTTATCTACTACTAAGTGTTATTTCAATGATACTTTGGCTGTTGACAATTCCATTAACAAGTTGGTGTGAATCGATATTTATTCGTTACTTTGATCTTCAGATCATAGATGATAATAATTTCGAGCTTATTTCCTCTGGCAAACTCTCGTCACCAAGTGTGATGCAACGATCAGATACTGATAGTAATGGAAATCATTCTGAAGAAGGTCTCAAATCAAGATTACTTGGAGGATCAGGTAGGCTAGAAGATTACACGTAGATATTTTTGAAATGACTATCAGATCATAACTGTTAAGCTGATTTTATATGTTAATACCGACTAAAATTTGATAGTGATATCTCGATTTTACTAGCACCGTAAAGTATCAGTACTATTTAACTGAATATATATATATATATATATATATATATATATATATATATATATATATATATTCTAAGTGGTTCAGTTCACTGTAAGTTGCAAAATGTTTGTGACTTAAGTTTTTTGAAAGCAGATATTAACTAAAATTGATTGGGTGTACTACGTAAATCAAACTATCTATTATCTCGAAATGTAGAAAGACAGCCAGGAGGGATTTGACGTGTTTTTTACTTTAGAAACTGCAGTTTATTCATGCTTACGATATCAAAGATAGCTAGTAAAGATTTATGGCTATGCTCACCAAAACATGGTATATGTTCATTAAATGTTGGTTTGAGCCATGTTGATAAACTCAGATCATCTGGTTGGTGCCCGTACAATAACCGCGATCAGAAGTTAGAGACTTTCAGTTATGTTGCTCGTATTCGGTCACAATAGTCTAGGAATATTCACGTCTTGACATACTGTAGATCTTGAATTCAAGTATTTCTTCATATATACCGTTTCCATTCCTTCTTCTCAAACCATATTCTCGATTTTTAGTCTCTCATTATCATTGTCACTACAGTACTCTAGTTTTTTATTCTGTTAGTTTTTTCTTGCCATACCAATATGGTGTGGCGATCCGAGCTGACCCAAGTTAGTACCAGGCTCTTCGTTAATTACGACTGACTGAGTCATTTTCTCAGAAGACACTGCAGTGTTTTAGTTGTGAGGTATACGACTAATATTTATATAATTATCCTGATAATAACGACCATTGAATATTATACTCTTTTTTATTCTTACATAAGATGAAGACGATAGTGAGTCGGATTCAGATGAACTATGGAATCGAAGTCATTTTATTGATAACAACGAGGAGATAGTTTGTCATTCTGATTCTGAATTGAATGATGATAGTGTTGTTCTGAAAAATTCATTAATTAAATCATCTTCAGGAAATAATGTTTCTGGTTATTCAGTGTCTAAATCGATGACAGTATTAAATCGTAATATTGTTGGTAATAATAAGTCTATTACCTCTTCTATGATTGATTATTCTGTATTTGAAACTCATTGGCCAAGAATTCAATGGCCATCAAATTTTTGGCTGTTATTATCTGTATTTCTAAATAGTGGTTTGGAGACAACATATGCTGGCTTTGTTGCTAGTCTCACTATACGTTATCTTCTTTGGTCTCCAGTAAGTGTTTATGTTATTCATATAATTATTTATTGTTGTCCATTGAAAATTCATTATTTTGTATGAAATACACTTGTTATTGAGTTTCAAGTTTAATGGTATGTAGTTGGGTTAGGCATTCACCATTTGAACTAGTGATTTATTATTCTGTAACTTTCATTTCACTTCTCTCAGTTTAGACTATTTACTGGAAATAAATCAATAATTTCTAATTCCTCATATGTCAAGTATGAATCAAAGCTCTGCTTACATGTACCTGTGTTGCTTGCTCATTGACATTCACGCTTTTTTATTTAATCTACGTAATGTTATTTCAAGTGTGTCAACTATCATTAACTTTCTGTCTTAAATTGTCATATATTGACAATTTGTCACATTGATATGGCTTAGCATAGGGATTAAAACAAAAATTTTAAATATAGATTAAATTCTTTGTTTTTATTCAATTAGAGATTTTATACTATAAGCTGTAGTTTAATGATTAAATCGTTTGAATTTCAACCACCAACTTGTAGATCCCAACCCCTGTACATCTATTTCGGTTTGAGTAGTATCACTAGCCCTCAGATTTAAAATATATCTCGAGGCAGAATATACAGATCTGTACCTCGTAATGAGTGAATAATAATAATACCTGTTAGTTTCCCCCCAAATGGTCTGAAAGCTTGTTGGATATCATTTGATTATATATACATTAGTGTGTTATGGTCAACATTTTATAGATGTCCTCATTTATACTTTCACAAAATGATATAATGACTAAGAATTAAGCTTGTCAGTCAGATCTTAACGTGTTGACAACTGAGTAGCCTACAGAGCTATTTCATTTATTTTCTGTGAATAATTTGTTTACGTAAATGTTATTCCATTGTATAAAAAATTGTTCTTCTGGTTAACGGTCATGGTCTTTCATTCATTTTAACAATTACAAACTTTATTCACTGACCAATCCTCCCTTCCGTAACAGGGAAAAAAATTTCAGGACTACTAATTTTTAATTCCTTTTGAATTCAATTTAATCTCGGAAGTTTTTCTCCTAAAACTATTCCTAAAGCATAAATCATTATTAATTTAACAGGATATCTATTGAAAGCATCAATTATCTATTGGTAAACTAGTTAAGAACATACAATAAAAGCGAAATATTGGTTCTTAAGTGATAGTCCAATTAGTAAAATAGGTTTGAACTCTACTCCATCTGCTTTTGTTTGGAAAAATCGGATGGTATCACTAGTATTCACATTTTCGAGTATGACTTAAAGCCAAGTATACAAATCTGTACTTGTTTGATGTGTGGTTATAATTGATTGTCATCTACAAATTATAATATGTAATGTAACTTATTATATTATCTGGTAAAGGTTTATATACTTGACATCTCTTAAATAAGTATATTTGTGGCGGTTGAATCATATTCGATTGTAACTCTATGGCGTAAGCAAGCATTCAACTCAACCATCCTGATCACATAGCCGAAAAGTTTTTAGCCCATTTATAAACCCAATTAATGAAACTCATTATTATGTATACACAATATGCACGTAGTTACTGGGCTGCTGATATCTTTATTTTGTTGACAAAATGATTGTTCGTGTAACTTCATATCCAATCCAATTTTTTTATTTCTTTTAACAAGACATTAGCAATAATTGTGACCAGTTTGTTTTGGCTTGGTAATCTCGTTGGCTTTTTAGTTCGTTTATTAATAATCAATATTAAATGGCCAGATTTACGAGATACTTTACCGGGTATTTCAAACAGTCATCTATTATCTAAGCGTATATATTCAACTAGAAAACATCGTCGTCATTATGCAAAGTAAGTTATTTTCATATAATTTTATACATTCATATTAAATTGTAATTAGTGAATAGTAGTGGATCACGAAAAATGACCTAAATATTGCTTCCCATAGTTTATTTTAAATGAATCCCGTTGGTGAAGTGTAAGTAAGTAAGCATTCACAATTAAGCACAACTGTGATGAATATAGAAAAAATTGTGATCTTTAATTTGCACATTAAAGTTGTGACAAACAGTACCTATATATTTAACCTCTCTCGTACTTTGTTCAGAGAAGTTAGATATGATTACCATTGGTCAAATTCATCCTAATACATCTGATAGTTCACTGATCTGTTATGATCTCCCTTTATACGACCCAGCTACTATTATTGCTTAATATTTTTTGGACAATTTACTTCACTCGACTAGTCCCCAAATTAGAACAGGGTTGAACAGGAACGTGGTTATATCGAGCTGCAATTTAATGGTTATTATTTCCTTTACTAATGAATGTTTCACAGATTCAATTTTATCTGCTTGTATTGGGGCTTTAGCAGTAGATATGTATAATGCACACAAAATGGAAATGATTGTTTAGTTAGTTAATTCGTTTCTGTAATGTAGTTAAAAAAATGAAATACAATCTAACAATTAGTTTTTGTTTTGATCAAGAACGAATCCATCTAGCTCTAAATATAGATTCTGGAATGCATCAATCTTTTGAACTCCAGATACTTCGTAAAACAAGCCTAATCACTTATTATTATTATTATTATTATTATTATTATTATTATTATTATTATTATTATTATTAGATTGTGAGATTTGTAGCTCAGGTTAATGATTATGCTCTATGAGTTGGGCGATTGAACCGTAAAGCTATCATCACCGATCTTGACAACACCAGAAAAAAACTTCAAATAAAAGTAAACTATCTGGAATCTCCCACTTTCCATACGAATAGCAGCTAGTTCTGTTGACCTTGAATTTGACTGACTATCGACATTTGTCCTACCAGTATGTACATGTTTTCGATTCCAGACAATGCTAAGTGGTAACAACCAATCAAATACACGGTTAACAGGACAAACTAGTATTCATATGTGGGGAAAGATTTCAAATACGTCACTTCCATTTGAAGCTTTTGTTGGTGTTACTGTCCCGAAAGATGATGATATCTTCACAGCTAAAAGAACACAACTCCACCAAAAGCTTTATAATGTGCCAAGGGTTTGCATTTTCGCGTTGCTAATATTCAAGACTAAATTTGATCAGTTTTTGTTTGATGATAATATAAAAATTAACACTAACATGTAAGTACATCTAACTGACTAGTCTAAAATAAAACAAAATAAGTATTCTACATTTCACACTGCTAGCCCTTATTATCCAAACATTTAATAAACGTAATCATTTGTTTACTCTTTTGTTTTTTCCTTTTTTTTTTAAATCTCTCTCTCTCTCTCTCTCTAGGAATACAAAATCATCAATAATTATTACTATCATACAATTGTGTGGATGTTTTATTTGTGTAACTAGTTCTATTGCATTAACATATTTATCAATGTCAACTGGAAGATGTTCCACAACATCGACATCATCATCCCTATTAAACATGAATTCATTATCTCATCCTTATATAATATGGTTAATTGGTAGTTTTTGTTATGGTATTGGTATTGGTTTATCATCTTCTTATACTGGTACATTAATGACTATACATTTAACTACAAATTTATTTTTTTCTAATTCATATCATATTCAATTAGCTACATTTTTTGGTCAATTATTAATGCCAGCATTAATAGCTATGCTTCATCATCAAGCATTATTTTGGCGATATTCATGTGTACATAGTATTAGTGTATTATGTTTAAGTATATTAATGAGTTGTTCATTAATTAGTCATTTTATCATTGAAATTATTGATAATAAACGTAATAATTTATTGAAATCATCTAATTCTAATCGAAATAATAATCATGATACAAATTTACATTATTCTAATGGGAAAATTACAACACCATAATTAGTTTATAAATTCTAATAGGGATAGGTAATAAATTATCTTCAGGTAAACTGATGATAGCTTCTTCTAATATTGTTATTATTTTGTTTATTGCAAATGTCTTTCATCAAACTTGTCTTCATGTGGTTAATTGCTTTAACCTGTAATAGTTTATCGTAACTATATATATACACACAAAAATATGTTATTTGTATAATACTACTACTAATACCAACTCTCCTTCTTCTTCCTTCTTCCCTTCCCCTCCTATCTAGTCTGGTAATAATGGTATTTTGTTCATTTGATTGCATTTTGTACTGTATCATTTGTATGTGTACTCACCTGTAGTTTTTCTATTACCGCCTTATTTTCATAGGTTATCTGCAAGTTTGATCTGTTGTTATTTTAATATACTTCATTACGTCATGCATTGAATCTATTTGGTTTAATGACTTGTTTTGTTTATTATATTGAAGTATAAATGCAAACAACACATTTTATTAATTGGTTTTTTCTTTAAATGGATTGAAATAATCTGTTGACGTATAGCTTCAGTATTAATTTAATATAAATTATTCACTAAATACAGATTGATGTATTCCACTTTAAGTCGCTTTATTTATGTTTGAAGGTTTATGGTACTATCTTACACCTGTTATCCCTTGTGGAGCATTGGTCGCCAACCAGGAGTCTCCGAGCTACTCTGTTCTAGGTTTCCCTTTCCATCTGTCGCCAAGTTCTATTGATTATTTTGATGTCTGCCTCCAGTTCAATATGTTTTTTTCTTCGTCTGCCTCTTTTCTTTTTCCCAATTTATGGCTTACTTTATGAAACAGTCTGATGATTTCCATTAGTGAATTCCACTAACCACTATCCTATGCAATGGTTATGAATTTGTAAGGATACGTAAATGTCGACCAACACTGATAAACAATATCCAGTCAATAATATCAACAACAGGATAACTCAAATCCTTAAAAATTAAGTTGAATTAATCCCTCGTTGGAATCTAGACATTATTAAGGGAAAAAATGGAGTTTATCATAATGGTGTGCTATATGAGCACTCTTTGATCACACTATAATTTCTGAAGATATTTATTTAAGGAATAAAAAGTAAGATGAACAATGAGAGGGAATTTTATTTTAAGCGTACCAATCATGATATATTAAAAATAAAGTCAATAATACCGGGGTAGGTCTCAATGCAATTATGAGGTATTTTTGGAAAAAAAGTAGAATAGTTATACATTTTCTCATAGGTAATTAAGATTCAACAGATTAGCGTATATGTAGGTAACTACTTGTTTACAATAATAGACAGAATGTTTGTAGATTGATTTAATAAGTTTTCCTAACATTTCAGAGAAACAGATGGATGTTTACCATATTCTTTTACTGACGTTTGCACAGTGTTCCAGTTGTTCATCTATACGTGCAACCACATTGGATCGAATATGATGCACATAATGAAGTCGATGAACGAAATGGTTAACATTGTGTTTAGGTTTTCGCTAAGAAATGAGTTGCTTTTCCTATGCCCTGACTGTGGTTACATAATAGGTTTTGTAGCTTTGAATACCTCACATGCTATCATATTAGTGAGACGCAATCAGGATTCTCTTGATCTAAGTAGGATTCAGGTGTCCTCATCTTGATACAGTTGAATAGCTTGGGAACATGTAGTATATCCTAACACCAGTTCTACTAACAGTTCTTACATTTCACGCCTAGTGCAACTATGATGTTAATTTCTTAAGAAACAAAGCACAATACTTCTTTACTGTTATAAGAACTATGGTGAAATTCATTTTGACAACTAAAAATTGTGGTTCATGTACATCTAGTTGTTTAACAGGTTTTGTCTTGACCGAATCAGACAATATTAAGAATGACTCATAACATTATTTACATCTATTTGTTGTCTTTGTTTTAATTGGCATCATGGTTTCTTGAAACAGAATTATTTATCTATTATCAAGCTTTATGGTAGAGCATAAATGGTTTTGGTCATTTCATGCATTGCCAATTTATTCACATACGTGGTAAGATGGACAAACTAAAATTAAGACACACCTACTCAAGCGAATTCTAAAGTTAACTCAATTGAGAGCAAAACACACCTAATTTTCAATCGTTAATTTAGCACAATATCATGCGAAATTTCTTACCATTACTGTAATTCACTGGATCGATTAACAAAGAAAAATGGTTTGAGAAAAGATTTTTCCGAGTGAACAATTCATTGGTAATGATTGGCTGATTTTACTAACACTGCATACATATTTTATTTGCGTTTCACCATAATATTGTAGTCGTACTGTTTAAACTCTTCAAAAAAAACTTGAATTTGGTCATAGTAATGTAAACGAAACTATATTGCTTTACAAATCTTGTATATTTTATTGTCTTGGATTTATCTATTCATTTGCCATCTAGTTGTGGTGTGTGGTACTCATACAGACATATATAAGTGGTATGTATCAAGATTTGAAAGAAGGATTCTTAGTGACGGAAGAAGAACATCAGGAGACGAGAAAGAAAAGTAGAAGCAGTTCGAGTAGCAACAGGAATGAAAGAACGATGGAGCTTTTAAGAGAAAATTCAAGGAAGATGTGCACATAATATTTTCAATTTATTGTTTTCAGATTTTACAAATGCAGTGTATAGTTTACCCTACCCATGTCTTCGTTCACTACACGATGACACTTGCGTTTATTTTGCGGGCTAATTTTAAAACGACTTGTTTTGCTAACCAGTTACTCAGTTTTCTGATATCCATTCACTGTTTGGTTGTGTCGATGGTCCGGATTTGTGTGAATAATTATCACACGACCACAGTAAATTAGGATAATTGATCAATTGTCTCGTAATTTATTCCGTCTCTTTGTTGACCATTACATGTTTGAAAGTTTTCTGTTTTCCTTTCATATTAATTGTAGTTAAATCATAAATGTACCATCGTATTCCTATTTAATGATCGTAAGTTATTGTGAATGTCATGAATGATTTCATGCAGTTTTGTGGTTGTGTAGTACTGTGGAGTTCAAACTAGGATGAAAAACTATCTACTGTTACTAGGTAGCATTCAATAATTTATTCGTTAACTTATTCCAATTTGGGATGAAGAAACAACCTTAGGTTATACGCAGTCATTATGAACATATGGCGTCAATTTATACACAATACAATTGACAGCTTGGATGCAAACAGACGATTTGAACTTCGCAGATGAGCTAGCTTTACTAACCTATACACATGAACAAATGCGAGTCAAACCAACCACTGTAGCAGCAGCCCCTGCACCAGTGGGCCTCAACATACACAAGGGAAAAAGCAAAATGCTCAAATACAAAACGGAGAGCACCAACCCAATCACAGTTGATGGAGAAGCTCTGGAAGAGATGTAAACTTTCACGTACCTGGACAGCATCATCGATAAAGAACTAGGATCTGATACCGATGTACAAGCACTGACTAGAAAAGCAAGGATATTATTCCTACAGTCAGAGAACATATGGAACTCAAAACAACCGTCAACCAATATCAAAATCACAATCTCCAATATGAACGTCAAAACAGTTCTACTGTACGAAACTAAAACTTGGATAACAAATATACAACCATTATCAAGAACGCACTAGTATTTATAAACAGTTGTTTACACAATATACTATCAGCAACAGCCTACTATAGGAGAGAAAAAGCCAGCCTCCAATTGAAGAGGGAATTAGGAAAAGACTTTGGAGATGGATAGGACATATACTGCGAAAATTACCAAACTGCATCACGAGGTAAGTGCTAACTTTGAATCCTGAAAGGAAACGAAAAAGAGGAAATCTAAAGAACACACTGCATCGAGAACTGGAAGCAGACATCAAAATAATGAATGGCAACTGGAAAGGACTGTCCAGGACAGATTTGGATGGAGAATGCTGGTGGGCATCCTGTGCTTCTCCATGATGGGTAACAGGCGCTTTTCTTTATTTATACACAAACGAAAGCTCAGAGATATTATTCTCATTAGTCTGTATTAATGGAATTCGTTACCTTGATTAACCTTAGAAACTTCAAATATCTCAACATGCATAGCAACTGGCTTAAAAACTCATGGTGATAATTTTTAACACAAAAACACATAAAACTTTGAGCGTCTTCCATGTTATCAAGTCATTGAAATACCATTTGAATTCATCTTAACTAGAATTCAAGCTCTCACATCTTAATGCAGTTCAACAGCTAAGCTACCTATGGTTTAATCTAACAACTATAATGACTAATTATTCCCACCACCTGGTGTCTAATTCATGCAATCAAGTAGCCACTGATCATGAATTTATTCATTGTCATACGCTATACTCACATCTGCGTTGGCTAACATTTTGTAAATAAGTGTGGAAAATAATCCATTTTGATCGATTATATTTTCAGCACTATTCATAAAAAATAGTCTGTCCATTAAACAGAGTACAGGTAGGATAAAAGCGGATAAAGATCAATGATTCAAACTATTAATGTAGATCATCTAAACTTTGTTTTGCAAAATGCTAATCATGTGAAATTGTGTTCGATTTTGTATTACTGATCTTAAATAAGGATAGATTTGAAGGTTGTTTGTATTGGAGGATGAGATTCACCATCATAACATATTATACAGTGACTATTTAGACGTTAAAGTAGATTGACTTCTGAGTAATAGGTCACAGGTTGAAGCCTGGTTCATATGCTTTGACCGTTAGACATTACCTATAGATAAGTATTTTTTTTAAACGCTTTACAAAGATCATTTTGACCTGCATGTAGTATTTTCCATACAGTGACTTCGCCTGGAGTCCCTCCGAGGGCTACTGCCTGTCCCAAGCCCGGATAAAGGAGGAGAGTTGGACATAAGGTTAGCAACTCCATCCCGTAGAAAACTAACTCGCTAAAAAACGCTAACCAGAAAAATTAATTCAAAGGATTTAAACTCTGCCCTGGGAGTTATAAGGTCTTCATTTAGAAGAGTTATGACGCCTCATGATGAAAGCCGAGTTTCTTCGGAAGTCACGAAGCTGATGCCCCTTCTGACAACCATAGCAACCATTTATTTAGGTACATGGAATGCTCGTACAATGTGGGAAACCGGGAGAGTCTTCCAAATTACTGCTGTTACTGCAAACTTAAGTTGGTTTTCCATGGTCTCACACTTGAGGTTAAAAAACGTATTCAGTAACATTGTGACCGCACTAACTAGTGACCTACTACGAGATAAGTTCCTGAAGTCATACTGTAAAATATCTGATGGAGCGGAGTCGAAGTAAGTACTTAAATGATGGACAGAATGATTATTATTTGCATGTTGAAACCATACTACTCTTCGGATATAAGTAGTAACATTTTAATTTCACATAATATTTTTAGGAAATAAGTGATTAAAGCTATCCAAAAAAGTCAAGTAAATATATATACATTTTGTTTAATTATTATTTGGTCACGGCATCTGGACTGAAAAATATACCGAGCAAATTGTGAGGTCTGAAATGCCCAACTGACATGATTTTACACCACCAGATGGTGTATTTCATATTGAGTGACTGAAGCCAGTCATTAGATCATAAATCTTTTCATTTACAAAATATATCCATAGTTTTGAGGAAATATATCTTTCTTAATCCATTACCTAAATGTTGTTAGTGCATAGGTTGTTTAGCGAATATGAACAAATGAAATACTCTAATCAGTTGCAAGTTTCCTCTATAATTTCATTTATTAAGTAGTTGCTAGAAGAGTATCAAAATTTGAGGTGAAATATGAAAACCCTTTTGTAGATGGTGCGTATGTATTAC